ACTCAGTCATCTATGTCCATGCAACGACAAAAGCACTTGCAGCTGCTAAACTTAGTGAAGCAATGGTACATGTACATAAATGGCTCACTGACTCCCATTTGCATCTTAATGTAAAGAAAACAGTGTGCATGTTTATCAGTAAGACAAATACTAGATCAGACTGTGCTCCTAAAGTCCAGATAGCTGGAGAGGTCATCCAAACAGTCTCACATTTTAAATATCTAGGTATCATCCTAGACTCTAATTTAACTTTTAAAAAACAAGTTAAAAGGGTAATGCTGACAACTAGGTACAATTTGTCAAATTTTAGATATATTAGAAACTGCCTAACAACACCGGTTGCAAAACAATTTATGAATGCAATGATCATGCCGCATTTAACATATTGTATAACAAGCTGGAGTCAGGCAACCAGCACAACACTGAAGCCTATCCTCTCACTGTACAAGCAAGCTCTCAAGGTGTTGGATAGAAAATCCAAGCTGTATCATCATTGCAACATACTTGATAAACATAACATTCTCAGCAGGGAAAACTTAGTTAAACACAGTGATGCCTGACTAATCTTTAAAATCATAAATGGCAAAGCTACATCACTCTAACAATAAAATTACAAGGTCTGCCCTAAGAGGGGATTATGTCATCCCTCGTAGGTCCAGTTCCTTTAGTCAACTGTGCTTTTCTGTCAGAGCCTCTAACTTATGGAATACATTACTAACTGACGTAAGAAATTGCAAATCTTACTGTACATTTAGTCATCATTTGAAAAAGTGGCTTCTGAGCAATCAAATATGTGACCATCCCGAACTGCATATACTGTCTGTCTGCTGATCCAATACTGTCCTTTGCCTGTCGCCAGAGTGAGTGTTGCTTCATAGTGTTGTCTTCTGCTTTGTCTGTGGTGTTTGTTGTGTGTTTTATAATCTGCTGAAGTTGTCTCTGTCTGCTTGTTTGTTCATGTTGTTTGTTTCTGTCTCCTTGATTTATATTTTCAGACAATTCTGACTTTTTTACAACTAGTCATAATGGTTATCAAAACACCTTGCCAAAGGACTGCAGTTGAAAATTGACCTATGGCTAAGCCACGCCCCCTCCACTCACTCGGACAAACTATCAACATTCAGTGAGCGGAGCTATGGCAGGTGTCACAGTACACGGCATTTCACAGGAGGCAACTGATAATTTTTGGGGACATAACGATCAGATGTCATTGAGAAGTAACCAAAAGGGCCTAAACTACGCATTGGAGGGATATATTCATCATTTTATTGTTGAGAAGGTCGATGAAAAGCTTAAATTACAAGCCAAAATTTACAGGTCACAGTGTACGCTTGTGAACCGCATCTGGTTGCCGTCACCATCAAAGACAACAAGTTAAAGTGCCACTGAAGTTAAGGTTTTTGGCTCAGAATATGAGAAAAGGATAACGGCCTTTTTACCATCTTTACCAAGAGTGTCTCTCCGTTAGTTTGGTGCTACAGTATTTACACTGAATCATTCAGCATAACGTTTGCCAACCTTTGTTATCTCTGCCATTACAGATAAGTTAATGAAGCTAAGCTCCAGAAGTTAACGTTAGCTTAACTAGAGCCCTCTGGACAACAGCTAACAATGATGTACAATCACCAAAGTACAAAACTAGAACAAAATAGGCTAATGAACTCCCAGCAAACAAGGTGACATGATGAACAACGCAGCTAGGAGCTAACGTTAGGCTAACTTTAGCTAACATTAGCTAGAGATGTTAAAGATAACTTTATATTTCTTTCCAGCAAAGTGACAATATGTTGCCTCAAACACAATGTTGACTTACCTTAGAACAGATGTAGACATCATTGTTAATCTTATTCACGTTGAGTTGATGTTGTGGTCTAAAGTTACCACACAACTTTATCCAAAGGAGACACTTTTCTCGGTTGAGATGTGGTTTAAAGTGTAAAAAATACACCTGGTCGCCCAGCCTCTCAGGATACCTTGTGTCAGAGTTGCATGTACCCCATGCACACCGTTTGACCATTTTTAAACTTCAAATCTCAGAAAAAGCTCATAAAACCGAACAAACTGACTTTCTGTAATGCATTTCAATGGACGTCCAGGCAGAGAATGTCCCAGTGTATGGGAATGGCAAATGGTCGAATTGAGGGGGGATGCCATCCCCTTTGTTAGAAAATTGACCAAAAACCATCCCCCTTGTTAATTTAGTCAAAAAGTCAAAATTGAAAATCTAGAATCTGTGTGTGCAGACATGGACGTAATTTGAGGGCGGACACAAGGGACATGTCCCCCGCACTTCCCGTATCTGTGCCCTCTGTCCCCCACACTTTTTACAGCTGTTACAACCATTCAATTCGTTTTTAACATGTGGTAACGTGTTTTTCCAAACCGTCTTTAAGCGTTGTTGTGATCTGAATCAATCGCACAGACAAGACGTGTGCTGCTGTGTGTTAACTATGTTCAGCAAACCAGCCAGCAAGAAGCAAAAAACCTTGCACAGTTTCTTCACAGTTTCTTAGATAAATGATGACTAATTAATAGAGCCCAATATATCAAGTTAAGCTAGTTAACAAGAACACTAATGTTATTGATACCTATGTTAAATCACTTGCTAGCTAGTTTCATGCTAGGAATAAACCCACTCCTCCTTAATAAGAACTTGTGCTCACTATTGCTTTGCACATATTTTTCTAATCTTTATTGCCACAGTATAAAGAGCAGGGTCAGGGAGGAGACAGTGGACCAGAGGCCAGCTAGGATGATCATGCAGGGTCCTCACAGGTGAGAAGAGATTATAACTGGCTGAAAGAAAATATCTAGAGCATAAAAGTGACTTTGAGGTTAATTTCCACAGCTATGTCACCACTACTATTCTTAATTCTATTTATAAATTTTGCTTTGCACATTTATTATCTATATTATTGCAATAGATAGAAGAGGGACAGGGAGAAACCAGGCAGGTATCAGGACAGGGACCTGACATCAGCACCAATTATCAGCCCAAGGCTTCACAGGTAAGGAGAAATTATAACTGGCTAAGGAAATGTCTGTAGGATAAGAGTGACTCTAAGATTCATTTTCACAGCTATTTTAGAACTATTCTTATTTATACTCTAAAATGTTTTTTGTCTGTATTGCAATAGCAATACTACTGCATTATTTGTGTTTTTAAAGGCAGCAGGTATAGGTCATGCAATTTTTCTTTATCTTGATTAATTTTGCACATCTGTGCTGTCATATTTGATGATGTGTGCACACAAAAAAATCAAAGCTACATTGCATCTCCCTTGTTAAAAATTAACAATTCGACCACTGTATTTATATAAATATTGAGAAATTTAAGAGAGTGTTGCTGCATTAGGCCCGGTGTGTGTAATGTTGACTTGAGCAACAGATTTAGCAGAAGGTGGAGTCTGAAGCAGTGTGTTGTATCAGCCACTAGAGGGAGGCATTGTACAGGTTTAATCCTGACAACAGCTGATCAGCTGAAGTGTTACCAAAGTGTTTTATCAGAGGCTTAAAGGTCAAAGGTTAAATAAAACTTCAACAGTCAATCTGAGCTTTTTAGAGGCAGAGTAACATTTAAATAAATCAGGATACAAGAAACAGCGCTGTTTAAAAGATGGACACAAAGACAACAAAGAAAATCAGGAAAACACAGAGCTACAGATCGTAGAACAGCAGTGACAACAGGTGAGCAAGTAAACTTTATCTAAGTGACACACAGAGAGAGAGGCAGACAAGATGAGATATAAAAACATGGAAACATACCAACACAAAACTAGGATGTTGTAATTTAACATGTTTGTTTCTGATCTGTCTGATCATCTGGCTGCTTGTGTTGCCTCTTTTTAGTGATGTCACCTTGTTCCCAGATATCAGACACTAGCTAGGTGAGTGCAAACTTATTACAACTGATACAAAAGATGGACAGAAATACCAAAAAAAAGGCAAGTTAAAATGAAGTAGAATGATCTTTGAGGTACAATCAAATATTCAGTGTGCAGATGTAAGGTCTCAGTATCCTTTCAAACAAGTGTTTGTCAGATCGACATAAAAACTGTAAAGGTCTGAAATAAACTAAAGAGAAATGTTGTTATTGCATGGCATTAGACATTAGAGGTTGTGGGCTGATTTCAGTGTTTATTAAATTAATTTTATTTTTTTCTGTATGATTACTAAAATAACATAATAACATATTTTCCTAAACAACAATTTCAATGCAGGGCTTTTACAATAACAGAGTATTTTTACAGTGTGGTATAGTACTTTTACTTGAGTCGAGAATCTGAATACTTCCTCCATCACTGCTGCTGACACACATTTATCACAAATGTTTTGTGAGTGCTGGGTTTTCAATTTTCCTGCAACACCAGTACAAACACTCTGCAAAATCACATTTACTTTGATCAAGTTTGTTAAACAGTACATTGATTTCAGTACATTGATTACTGCAAAAGTTCTTCTTCTTCCAGCCCTCTCTTTGGTGCCATCTCTCCCATTCTTGTTCATGTTTCACAGTCTTTGCACACAGCACAACACCTGCCCTTATATAGTGTTTAGAGGACGTTACCTATGACTAAGTGGGACTGATCATTCAGCACAGCTGGGTCAGAGCAGATTTGGATGATTACGCATGTTTGGTGCATCTGAAGTTGACTTCTCTTGTTTTTTCTCTTAACCGTAAAATTAAGAGAAAATATGAGAGAAATTGAAGAGACTATTGGTGCGTGAGGTCCACTGAGCTGAAACTCAACCAACTGATCCTTTGTGGAAGGTTGTAAATACAAGCTCAGACTGTGTTGGTTGTTTTAAATGGAAGTCTGTAAAATGATGTGAGCGTCATTGAGTGACAAAGGTCAAATTAAAGTGAAAATGTGAAGGTGGTTGGACATGATGCCAAATGTTCTTTAAACATCTGGCAAACAAACAGAGGAGGAGTCAGAGAAGTGAACTAACAAACTGTTGTCTATTTTGTCCAGTTCAGACTGAGCGATGGACTCTGAGGCCAGCGGGACGATGGAGGTGGCGGCGCTCGGTCGGCCTTTCAGCCTCGGGATGTTGTACGACTGCCGCAAAGACTCACTCGTCCCTGGTGAGGATTCACATGTAAAGATGCTTAATGCAGCCGGGCGCCTAACTGTACAGGGAACAAGAGCTTGATAATTGCAGAGCGAAGTTACACGTCTTCCCTCCTTTGTTCTCAAACGTTTCTGCATCAATATCCTGTTTCTGGCAGCAGAAGGCGTCAAAATAAAAGTCCCATACGATCAGAAGGAAAAAGGGACCACCAAAATAAAGTCTAACAGGAAGTCATTTTAACCTCAGCTTCAAACTGATTGACAGGCCTTAATTTACCTTTTGAAGTCATTTACAGTTTGTGTCATACAAACACAGCTGTTCCTCAAACAAACTGATGAGGTGATCCTCTCTTTACTCTGTCCAAAAGTGCCATTTCAACCTGGACTGGGCTGGATCAAACTACAGGGCCAGTTCTGGACACAAACTCATGGCAAAAGTCCATGACCGACTCTGCTTCCTGTTTCATGCACGCCAACTGAGGAAAAACTTGCATTATCTGTGTTGTAGGATGTAGTAACGAATTCTCCTGTCAGGCTGGTTCTGGAAGCTGAACTTGATTTTTGCTTCTTTCTTTTTAGGAATGACATTGTGGGACCGTGATGACCTGAGAAATCATATTGGAGAAAGACCACAGAGCTATATTGATTTTGACATTGTTGCATCTGAATCAATTGCAGATAAATCATCAGCACTAAATGTTGAAGCATCCCTGAAGGCGAGTTTCTTAAGTGGACTGGTGGAGGTTGGAGGATCGGCCAAATACCTGAACGATAGTAAGACTTCCAAAAATCAGGCCAGAGTAACACTGAAGTACAAAGCTACCACAAGGTTCCAGGAACTGTCCATGAATCATCTTGGAAGAGACAATGTGAAGCATCCATATGTCTTCGATAAAGGATTAGCAACACATGTAGTCACAGCTATTCTTTATGGGGCACAAGCCTTCTTTGTCTTTGACCGTGAAGTGTCCGAAAAGGAAGATCATCAAGACATTGAGGGCAACTTGAAGGTGATGATCAAGAAGATTCCCAAAATTGCAATAGAGGGTGAAGGTTCACTGAAAATGGAAGACAAGGACAGAGAAAATGTTGAGAAATTCTCCTGCAGATTCTTTGGAGACTTTTCCCTTCAGAAGCCTCCTACATCCTTTCAGGATGCGGTAGAGGTCTACCAAAGTCTGCCAAAATTGTTGGGAGCCAACGGAGAAAATGCCGTACCAGTGAAGGTCTGGCTGTTGCCACTGACGAGTTTAGATTCTTCTGCTGCAAAACTCGTGCGTCAGATAAGTATAAGATTAGTTCATGAATCACAGAGTGTCCTGGAGGACTTCAGTGAGCTGGAAATGAGGTGCAATGATGCACTGAGAACCACCACTGCACAGCAGTTCTCACAGATCAGCAAGAAGATTAAAACTTTTAAAGAAATGTGCTCAGAGTTCAAGCTGGAATTCCAACGAACCTTGGCAAAGAAACTTCCATCAATCCGAGGAGGAGGAGAAGAGGAAGCTGAGCTCGCAGAGATCCTGAAGAAGAGACATTCTTCTCCTTTCAACAGCAAAGACCTGAACGAGTGGATGAACTGTAAAGAGAGAGAAATCTACACATTAAAGTCTTTCACCAACATGATGAAAAACACCAAGATCGTTCCATCTCAAAATCACCTCTACAACGAAATTCACAGTGCAGAGCATGCAGTGTGTTTTGTTTTCACCTCACTGGGAAGTGCCGAACCCTTCCTCTCAGCGTTATCAAACTACTTAACAGAAACACCCAAACCAGACGAACCTCGAGATGCACATACTGATGATGTAGAGAGGGAACAATGGTACACCTCAAAAGAAGTTTTAGATGCAATGAGTCACAAAGCAAAGCTCTTCAGTGACTTTGCAGAGGCCAACAAGGAGAACAAGAACATTAAGTTCTTAACAGTTGGTTCAACAAATGAGACACAGAAAGGTTCAAGCATCTACCTTTATAAAGACGGCTTTTCAGTCAGTGAGAACTTTGAGCTGCCTTCAAAGCCTGAAACAGTGACAGTCACTGAAACAAACCACAACAGTGTGACACTGAAGATTTCTCCACCAAAGTTTGGAGCAGAGAACATCACCTCCTACTCTGTTGAGTACTGTGTCAGTGGAGACGATGGATGGAAACAGAAGACGGCATCAGAAGCTGAAGAAGTCACAGTGAGTGATCTGAGTCCTAACACAGAGTACATGTTCAGGTGCAGAGCAGTGACCTCAGCAGGTGTTGGACCAGCCAATGAAGTCAGTGGCTCCATTAAAACCTTACCCTGCAGCCCTCCTGGAAAAATGCAATCATACTCAAGTGAGATATCAGTCAGCTGGGAGAAACCTGCTGAGGTTGGACAGAATGTCCACATTTTGAGCTACATCGTGGAGTACGCCAAAAAAAAACAACAGTCTGAAAGAGGAAGATCTCCAATGGAGCCAAAAGATGGCAGGAGCTGAGAGAGGTCTTCATTTCAGGTCTTCAGCCAGAGACAGAATGAGTAACTAATGAGGAACTAATGAGTAGTTACTGAGGAACTAAGCTTTACAAAATTAGAGTAGTTACTGAGGGACTAATGAGGAACTAACTATTAGTTAATGGTCAGTTCTTCATTAACTCATGATCAAATTTCACAGAGGGGTTAATCACGACTTAATAATTAGTGAACTAGTTACTTCATCAGTGCAGAATCATTACTCAATAACCCGTCCATTAGTTAACCTTTTTATGTCCTAAAGTAAAGTGACACATAATGAGTAGTCTTTCATTACTTCATCATCATCTTTACAATTAGTTCCTTAACAAATAAAATCACAGACAGCAGGATTCTTGAGAAGAGTTTAATTAATTATTTTCAGACCACATACACATTAATATCACAGTACAGATAGGAAACCCCTCGGCTGACAGGATGTACCACTCTCTCACTCCGCTACTTTGTTAATAGGCTCATTGGAGATGAACTGCGCCTCGCCTGGAAAGTTTATGAGAGCAGGCGGCCGCAGCGGGGGGCAGTGACAAAAAGCCGTGTGAAGTCGGACAGTTTCCCGACATTTTCCAGCAGCCTTCAGTCCGTACAGGAAGTCACAGACACACTCACATCCTGTCTGGAATGATGTCAATTCATTAAAAAAGTGATCAGACCCATATATCAGTTTGTTTTCAGTCTCCAGTTGTTTTAATTATAATAGATTAATTTATTAAAATGCTTTACAGGTGATCTGTAGTTCATGTTCATGGTTTATCCTCCATTTGACGTGAACTCTCCTGTAAATCAGCATCATATCAGTTTGATCTGTCCGACTACAGTGTCTGACTTCATTGACTTCATTCTCTGCTCAGGACGTCATTACTCTTTAAAATCTTTACACAGCAAATAGTTGATTGCAGCTACATCAATGCTCTGAACGTCACATGCAGAACCTTTCAAGACTCTTTTTATCTCACCACAACAAAAGTATCAGCTGTACTACTGTTTCGAATACACTGTGAATCTACAGTAAGTTATTATTTAACCTGTTTCAGATAATGTCACACAGTGATCCTCTTTTGAGTGTGGGGGCAACCGGAAGTGATCTGTTCCCTGACCATGACTGGATTAAACTTGAGCCTGAAGTGAACTGTGTGGATGCAGACGATGCTCCAGCTTACAGGTGAAAAAATGTCTTCAAATACTTTGGCACAGCAAACACATTTTCACAGAAGGAAAACTACAATCTTTTTCGTTGTTTTAACATTTAATGCCAATACATAATTACAATTATCGTGGTATTGTTACATTTCACAGCAAATTAAAACAAGGCAGATTTTGTTTTCTGTTTACATTAACGACATTTCTGATCTTACAATATTCTAGCACACAGGAGACCCAAACTTACAATACTTGTTTCCCTTTCATGAATTAGCCTGCAGTCTGAAGCAGGTGCCTTCGAATGCAGTGTCTCTGGCTTGCGCTGGGTTTGCAAGGAGAAGGTCAGCTTCAAGTACCAGTTTGGCTCTTGGAAGGAGCACACGGACAGACTGGAAACCATGCAGTACATCCCTGGAGGTCCCCTACTGGACATTACAGTCATTGCTGGAAAGTTAGATGAAGCACATTTGCCACACTGGATCTGCACAGGTAAGCAACATCATACAATAAAAACAAGATGTAACAACCTCAGAAATGTTTGATGAATGTCTTTCAAAACATTTATACAAGTGTATTTTGTGCAGAAGACAACCCTACAGTTTTAGACAAGTTTGCAGTCCTCCACATAGATACATGTGGAGACATTGTGGAACAAGTGTCTGAGGTCACATCATCCCATGTCAAGTTGTCTCAGCCAGCTTTCTCTCCAAGAGGAGTCCTGATGAGAGCCGGCTTCCCCGTGAGAATTAACTGTAAAGTGTTGATATACAAGACCACCAAAACATTCCTCACACTGCACGTCTATGTGATCCCTTGTGATCCAGCTCTAGAGGAGGTGATTACATATCTTACTGGCACCATGTTGATTCACACTTCAAAACACAGGCAGCAATGTCGGCTGCTGTAACCTTGAAGCATCTTTGTGCTGACGATGTCCTTTTTCCTCCCACAGAAAATACAGAACAAGGAGTTATCCAGTGGATACAGAATGATCCAAAAGCCATACCCAGCAAAATACCTGAAAATGCACGACTATTTCATCCTCACAGCCAATATGGACGCTGCAGAAATTAACCCGGAGGTAAAGTTTGGACTGTATTTACTTATTGATTTAACTGTTGTGCAGAAATAAATAAAATGGATGAATATGAAGCTAAAGCCAGGAGATGGTTAGCTTAGCGTAGCATAAAGACTGAAAACAGGAGGAAACAGCTAGCCTGACTCTGTCCAAAGATCACAACATCTGCTGAGCAGCACCTTGTAAAGCTAACTAACAGTCTGTATTTTCTCTCGTAAAATGGCAACTTGTTAAATACACTGCGTTTTATTTAAGGATGAAACTCATGGACAAACATAAGGATTAACACGGTCATGCTAGCTGCTTCCCCTTGCTTACAGTGTTTAAACTAAGCTAACTGTGTTCTGATTTACCAGACAGACAAGCAGGTTTTCCAAAATTAACTTAATTAACATTTTCTTAAAGATATTGTGACATCCCGGCTCTTAGGCTGGAACAATGATGGGAAATGAGACGAGTGAACAAATACTTCAGAGCTCATTTATTTACAAAATAACAAGAAATAACCGAACACACATGAAAGTCAGTAATCAGTCATATCTGTGAAAACGAGCAGGGAGGCTCTGTTGGTAGGTGGCGAGCTTCTGTGTCATGGCCAGGCCCCGATGTGGCTCATGAGGTTGACCCGCATCCTGAAAAAGAAAAACAGCCAGGAAATCAGACACACTGAGTAGAGGAGAGGTGTCATCATGTCCTGTCATTGCATTGTTTTGGTCAAATACAGCCCCTGTGGCTTGCCACCTGAAGACATCAGCACATTTTTCTTCAGGTGTGTAACTTAACACCTTTTAAAAATTGACCTCAGCGCAAAGTCTAACTCTGCTCCTTTCTCCCTTTATATATTTCTGTCACAGAAATTAAAGCTCATATATGAGTGGTGTGACCCAAACTTCTTTGAAGTGTTCATTGACGATCCTGACAGTAATTTCCAGCTCGGACTCAGACACACAACAAGTGAACAAGTGTGGACCTGTGCAATTCGAAAAAGTCAGTGGTGATGAAATGATATTCTGTCATGTGTGTATTTACGGCACCTGTATATCATTCTTGTTTAGCTAAAATGGCTTAAATTAAGTGTCTTGTATTGTGAATGCACAACATAAAATTTACATGTTGTTTATCTGGATTTTATTTCAGATGACTATCAAAACACTGGTGATGTTCAGGTGATGTATGGTAAGACATAATATATACTTGTAGCTGCTGCGCAGCAATGGTCGGGGCCGGGCAATTTTAGGGAACGTGAAAGTTCCAAATCTGTAGCACATATGGTTGATTTGTTATGAATTTTCAAAATTTTGAACTTTAGACGCTTGCTGTAGCGCCACCATCAGGACTATTGGCTTGAAGTTTACAGCTGAGGCAATCTGGCATGAGACTGGACCTTTATGAAAAGTTTGGTGATTTTTCACGCATGGGAAGTATGATTTACTCGGAAGAAGAAGAAGAAGAAGATGCAGGATAACAATAGTAATGAGTACTCAGTAGAAATACACATGTATGAAATATAAGGAAGGCAACGAGCACTAGCCAATCAGAAAAAGAGTAGGTGGGTCATGCCTTTGCCATTCTAGGAAAAAAAAAATTGGCGTCCCAAATTAGGGCTGCAACTAACGATTATTTTCATTGTCGACTAATCTGTTGATTATTTCTTCGATTAGTCGACTAATCATTTTATCAAAAAATGTGTTAAAATGTTGAAAAATGTCGGTCTGTCTCTCCCAAACCTCAAAATTACGTCATCTAATGTCTTGTTTCATACTCACGCCAAAGGGTTTGAGTTCACCGTCACGGGAGAGTGTGTAAAGCTGCCAATATCTGAATGTAAGAAGCTGCAACAAGAGTATTTTGGGTACTTTATAGTACTTCTCTATGCTCAGTCCATAGGGACTTGGGTTGGGAGTCCCCGTCCGGACCAAAAATATGGAGCGTGGACTGGTGGCTGGAGAGGTGCCAGTTCACCTCCTGGGCACTGCCGAGGTGCCCTTGAGCAAGGCACCGAACCCCCCAACCGCTTGGAGTGCCGCACCAAGGGCAGCCCCCTCACTCTGACATCTCTCCACTTTGTGCATGTATAGGTCCTGTTTGTGCATGTGTGTGTCTTTCAGACCTGTGTGTAATTGACAAGCAAGAGTGAAAACATTGAATTTCCCCTCAGGGGGATTAATAAAGGAAATAAACTTAAACTAAACTATAAACTTAAATGCCTCAAACCGATTAGTCGACTACTAAAATAGTCACCGATTATTTTTAATTTTCGATTAGTCACCGATTAGTCGACAAGTCGTTGTAGCCCTATCCCAAATAGCATTTTTTGGTCTTTGGTAGTAATCAACAGTGAATATTTGAAACTTGGCCTGGGGTGGAGGTGGGTGGTCATAATAATAGGCTCCAAATTTGAAATGATGTCTGACAAAGGGCTGTAAAACAGAAGTGCAGAAACAGTACACTAGCTCCACAAATGTAGGATTTGAGATTATAAGATTTAGCCTGTCTGTAACGCAGGTTAGACGCAGGGCTGAAGGACCGTCTCCAGAGCTGCTCTCCTGACGAATGTTCAGTACGTGTGTACCACAGCAGCAGCGGCTAACATCCAATACCGAGCTGTTGAACGGTCCCAACAAACTCACACCGACACTGAAATGGCTCATCTCTGTCGTTAAAGCTGTTAATAATCATTAATTCTAGGGCCCGCACACATCCTGTGTTTCTTTGCCCCCTTGAATATAATGTCAATGGAGACATGTGGA